TAGTGGATATGTGATAGGTGTAGGTAGGTGTAGGTAGATATAAATAGGAACAGGTAGTGAACCTGTGACAATATCTATATATATAGTCCTCCTTTTAGCACCCTATATAGCTCTTCACTTGTAGATTCTAAGTACACAATCGGAATCCTGTTTATACCCTTTTGATCACAAAGAAACGAATATAAGAAGAAAGAATCAAATATTGTATTGATGATGAGAAGATTGTTTGATAAAATATCCTCTCTATTGAAATTCCCAAATGATCCTTCCAAATGAGATTCTCTAATGAAATTCCATACAAAATTCCATAACCTCATACTTTATCCATTCATCTTTCCATCAACAACCTAATCAATACCTCACACTCAACTCCAACTCAACTCAACTTCCTCCCTCCCTCCTAATCCTATTATTTCATCATACCACCGAATTCTCGTATACCAAACTCTTAACCAAACATTGTTGTATTCGAGAAGCAATGCTTAAGTTTTAAATCGGATAATGCAAAAAGTGAATTCTTCAAAAAAAAAAAAAAAGGTAAAAGTTAGCTGTATTCCGATTGTTTTGAAGAAGAGGAGGATTTACCTTTTGCATTAGAAGAAAATAAACAATTGCAATTGCAATTGTAATTCCAATAACTTGCTTTAATGTAGTATTCTTTGCTTTCATCAAAGCAAGCTCTTGAGCGTGTGTTGCTTTCATAGAAGCAAGCTCTTCCTTGTACTTTGCCTCCATTAAAGCGAGCTCTTGGGCGTGTGTTTCCTGATCTTGAATGCGTGTTGTTTGTAATTCTCGTATATCATTATACAATTCCATTATCACTTTTGCTTGCGCCATTTCTTCAAGGGTTTCTTCTTCATTGTTAGTAACAATTCTGAATTCTGACTTTGAAGAAGGGTGATTGAAATCCATTTTGATGAATGTTGAATAGATAACTTGAAAGTTTGTATTGATTTGTGTACTTACCAAATAATTCCTTTTTGAAATGGATATAAAAAGTTTAAGTATTGATGTGGATGTGGGTTGTAAATAGGCTTAACTTCGGGGGGCAGAGATATATCAGGAAGGAAGAAAGTTGAACAACTTCAAAAAGAAAGAAGACCTTTTTTTAGAGGAATATGATGACTAATAGAATTATTCATAACTCCTCTTTAATCACTTATTATTATTGGTTCTTAATAAACTTGAATAAAGATTCTAGAAAGTCTAGTATATAAGATCTCACTTTAATCTCTTATTGTTATTACTTTAAATTACTATCATACCACTTAAAATCTAATCTCTTATCATAGATTCTACTCTTCCACAATATTCTACCATAAACTCTACCCTTCCACTATAGATCTCCACCCTTCTATTGTATCTACCACTTCAACTATATTCACCCTCCCACCATAGAAACCCTCCTACTAGATATACCTTCCTCTCACTGTAGAAACCCTCTCACTATAGAAACCCTTCCATCATAGAAACCCTTCTACTAGATATATCTTCTTCTCATCATAGAAACCCCTTTCACTATAGAAACCCTTCCACTATAGATTCTATTATAGAATCTACTATAGAATCTAAATGATATAAGAGTAATTTACTGTATTCTAATCTTACAATCGATTTGTAATTCTATTCAAAATTAGAAATCTTCTCATAATAAAATAATAGATAAGAAGAGGAGGAGGTAATAATCTTATAATGAAATTAAATGAAATTATCAAGTGATCGAATTGTATTCGAAATTAAGATTAAGTTTGTTGGAAGTGTAACTGTGTATTATATTGTATATACTCTACATTACAGTTGTAATGATAAGCTAGCTAGTGTATGCGCTAAGGCTAGCGTCAGTACTAGCCGAGGGCACAATGCTAGGGTACCAGCACGTGGTACAGGGTACAGTAGTATGCGTTCTAACAAAGTTATTATTGAAGCTATTTATTTGTTATCATAACGGGGTAATATTCTTAGTCTATTTATCGCTCAAAAAAGCAACAGATTAGTTACATTTACTTTTTTGACAAGATAGTAACCTATCTACTTGATTTTTCTGGCAGTATGAGTATTATTGCATACTACTCCGTAGGTTTATCAGCCGAAACCTTAATCCATATTAGAACTACCTAGTAGGTAAACTTTATCCAGAGTAACTCGAGTATTGGCCAAATACCCCTGTGTTTCCTTATCATAAGGCCACCCACAATTAGGTACAGGTAGTAGTATCTGTATATACAACATGGACCTATGCGAAATGGGATGGCATAGGTAACTAATCCACTTTACAATAATTTACAATATTCAACAAAACTTATATAACTCCATCACCACAACTCCAAATTATTCATTATTAACTGTGAACTGCTCCTCAATATCTTAGATATCTTTCCACAAATTTTCAGGGGAAAGTTCTGAGGTAAGTTGACCTTTTTGTTGTAATAGTAGTTCACTTGACGAAAGGTGAACTTGAACAACTTAATTTCACAAAAACGTTGATATTACGAATATCTTGATACTACGAAGTGCAACTTGAGAACTTTGAACTCTGTTTTCATCTCACGATGGGTACTACTGAGGACCCATGGGTCGTCCCAATAGACGCCACTGGCGCAAGCACATCCACCACTGCAGATACCAAAACACCCAGTAGCCTTAAAGCTCACATCCGCGCTACTTTCCATGAAAGTCCCTTCACTGCTGATGTACTTTCGAATCGATCCGACGCGCTGAACCCAGACCCATTAATTCAGCTATTTGCTAATGAAGCTGATGAATCGCCTGCCAGACTCTATATCAGACATTTGTTTTCAGTATTCGAGGATACTGTTGCACAACAATACGAGGCTGAAGCAAACCTCGAAGCGGAGCAAACAAACATTCAAAATGAATGCGTCGCTCGCGTAGCCGTTGAAGAAAACCTCGCCACAACCCAAGCTCAGCTTGTAAGAGTACAAACACAACTCAGGGAACAAAATAACACGCCAGCTGCTGCAGCGCAGAATCCGAATAATAGAATTCCCCAGGCCCGCCAAACCACACACAATCCCGAGCCTTTTAAAGGAGAAAAGACAAACGCATTGATACGACAAGAGGAATACATTTCCTGGAAAATAGGCTTGCAACTCTGCTGGGGACAAGATACTGCTTATTTCGATACCGAGAGAAAGAAGCTTTTTCACCTTGCTACATTACTCGAGGGCTCTGTAAGACAAGAAAGACAAAAGGACATACAGGCTATCCTGAACAACACTTCGCCATTTGTGACAGCCGATGCCTTTTTGGGAAAGCTTGACGGACTCTATATCTATGTTGATATGGAAAGAGATGCCTCAATCAAGTTTGACAAACTCAAGATGACAGAAAAGCAGTCCTTTGCTTCCTTCTACTCTTCTTTAGAAAAGCTTGGTGATATGGCAGAAAAGTCCGATCGGGAGATGGTACTAGCCTTGAAACAAAAGGTTACTACTGGATTAAAACATATGGTCATAATGGATCACTTACCTTGTGCTGCCAACGATATTCAAGGTTGGAAGAACAGATTTCAGGTCTGGGACCAGAATATGCGGGAAAACGCATGTTACCTTGGATCCAACTCAATTGCACCTGCTTCGCTCTGTGTCACTGAGTAAGCCGCCCCTGTTGGTGAACCAATGGACCTTGATACATCCAGAGCCACTTTCAAGAACCTGATTAGAGAACAATAAAGAGCAGAAGAACATTGCCTTGATTTATGCTATATGTGTAAGGAACAAGGTCACACAATATAGGATTGCCCCAAAAAGAAGCTTGCCAATGCCAGAAAAAGTGCTACACCTGCTGTAAACAGAAACCCAAACTCCCGCGGAGGTTCTTTCAGTCACAACTATAACAGCAGAGGAGGTGCTCAAACACCTGTTCGAGGAAATTACAACGGCTGGGGACAAGGAAACACAGGAGATCGTGGTCATTTTTCGCCTTATCAACAACATCGTCTCTATGCTACACAGGGATATGTCGAAGAAGGAGCTGTAGCCCCATCAGAGAGCGCATCCAACATTTCTACAAGCCTCATTGCCTGTCAAACCTGGGCTACGACGCTCCACTAGGGAAAGGAAGCTACGAGTTAGCAATATCAGTTTAAAGGAAAGCGTTCGATTCAATGACTACGCTCATATGGTAACTTTCGATGATCATGGTTTTGACAATGGACAATGGATAAAACGGAAGAACCGATGAACAGGACATGCAACTAGAGTAATTTGATGGAATTTATAGGAATTTGTTACAAGAAACAGGGACTTTACGTTATTTGCTACACTGTACACTTGTTTGAGGACAAACAAGGTTTGGAAGGAGGGGGTACTGTCACGGGCTCACCACTCCTACCATCCTTACCATCCTTACTACCCGTTCCTAGCTAGCTCGGATGGATGCCTTAGGTATCCATCCACCATATAGTCGGCGTCGCTCCGCGCGCCTTCTTCTCTCCTTGTCGAATATCATACATCTTACTTAGCTCCTAGTAGCACCCGTACCAGCCCCGTGATACAATACCACTAGGATACACATACAATATCACTACTGTTATACCTATTATGATCTTAGTGATATTCCAACAAAAATAATGAAATAATGAAATAATGAAATAATAAATAAGAAAATAATAAAAGAGATAATAAAAATGTTCAAAACATATATTATCAAAAACTTCAAATTTTACTTATACGTCCCATTCAACCGATGGAACGGCCCCATTAGGGTATAGTCGTCCATCCCGTCGATATCGATGAATGGGACATATCGACGAATGGGGTAGACCATATCGAGTTTTTTATACACCCCCACATTGTAATGACTGTTCTATATCACGACGGAGAGATACAGCGGATTCAGTGAAGACTTGGAGATTGAATTGCAGAGAAACTATCGACGTAATCACACCTGCTATGCAAAAACAGCCATCGGACCCGCGCCTTTGATGATGCATTAAACCACTTCGTGGGAAAGGTGTCAGCATCCCTGGGGTTGAACCTAGGTGTGACTATCATCTCTTCGATTTCTCTCGAGATATCCCTTTCCCACTCCCATTTCCCTTTCCTAGTCCGCCTTTGGAACGTGGGGGTTTCGTGGAAGTGTTGGGGCTCTTGGCCAGTGACGGCTCCGAGACTTTGTTGTCTGGGGAGATTATCAGCTAGCTTCATGCGAGACTTGGAGCGCCTTTGCGATGAACCGCTGAGTGAGAGGGTCGGTTTACTCTGTGGGGATTTGGTGGGTTTGTGAGTAGGGCCTTTCTTCTTTGCTTTTACAATCGCTGTAATGGTTTTGTTAACGTCAGACCTTGAGATTTCTCTCATGTCGATATCTGCCGTCGCCACTTTGGCGGACTTTCGTTCCTTTGCCTCGATCTCTCTTTGGTGTGCAGCTAGTTCTAGAGCAGTTGCTTTGTGTAACCAGAGTGTACCTAGATCGCGACAAGTCCGTTCCTCGTTTCGGTAGAAGAGGTCCGGGGTGTTGGAGAACCTAGATGCCGAGAGCGTCTTGATTTCATCCACAAGGAGTTTGTTTTTGGTAGTTGTCTCTGACTCGCAGATCAAGCTCTCGAGGTGCAAGCCCTCTTCAATCTTGATAGCGGTGCACTCGTTGAGCGCAGTAATGCGCAGGTCATGGACGTGCGACTCGGACCTTCGTACCCATGTCAGGTATTCGGTCGTGATTGCGAACTCCTTGGACACTTGGGCGATGGGGACCTTGCAGGCTCCTAAGATGGATGGAGGGAAGGTTCGGGTCAACGAGTAGCGTTTTAGTGCGGAGACGGCGGTGGAGGTGTGCGAAATCTTTTGGCCGATTGCAAATCACTGTGCGAAGGCCTTATGGTAAAGGCTTTGAAACAGTGTGGGAACGCAATTGACCAACAATTCCAAGGAGGAACTGAGGGCGATGTTGTCGATATTGGCGCGGTCAATCGTGGGACTAGGTCCGTGGTTGATGGGGGCGCCAATGATAGAATGATCGGCAACGACATGGTGGTAAAGGGATGAGTGATTATCGTTTTTTCGAATGTGTAGGGTTAGGGACCACAATCACGGCAGAATTTCTTACGGTCGACGTGGCGTTGGTATTGAAAGTAATTGAAAAAGATAATGGGGTGGAAGAGATAGGAGTCCTAGTACTTGGTCTTAATAAAAGACTCAAAGTACTTTCGCCTGGCTTTTCAGGTAGGGGGGGACCTCTATTATGTAGAGATGTAGAGATCCCCCAAGCAAGAGACGCATTTCTTTTCCAAAAACTTTTCACAGAATTCATCTTTGGCTTGTACGGGATGCTTCCACCATGTTCCTTCTCTTACATGTAATGTAGACTTTTCTTTCAAGTTGAAGCCCCTGACAGCCCCCTTGAGAATCGCTTTATATGCTAGTAATGCATCTCCTATTAGAATCAAGAAAGCTAACTATAGAAGGACTTAAAGTTTCATATTTGGCTAACGATTATAGCTGGAGAACTCACAACTCTTGACAGGAAGATTCGAGCTTTTCGGATACAACACATGCATTCGATCATTCATTCATTTGGAGCCATTACCCCGCGCATGATACCATACCAAGGCTACGGTAGATGTAAAATGGAAGCTCAAAACTGAAAAATCGATCATATTTATTCATTGAAAAAGTGAAGAGACCAATGAAATCATCTTTTGAAACATACTTAGCTTCCCAGAATGAACATTTGCAGACAATATTTAGTGAATGTAATGGTAAGGCATGGTTTCCCACCTCATTAAAATAAGCGAGAAGAAGTATGAGGGATTTCTCAACATTTTTCTCGACCCTCAGTCATCCCACAACACGCACATTTCCATATCATTCAATAACTCGAACTCTCAATACATCTATCGATTGCTTGCATTAATTTGCAAGTTCATCATGTATGTACCATTACTTTCATCCTTTTGTGATACTTTTATTGTACTGACTGATTTTGTCTACATAGATCATCTTGTCGCATCGCATTCCTCCTCACAAATCACCTTGTCAAAACAAATCAAAATGTCTGACAACGATATGGCTAGCTCTGTAACTCAGGCCAACGGCGGTATGAGCCAGGCTGATGTTGACTTCCTCATGTGCTGTCTTCGCAATACCACTGGCGGTTCCATTCAGGTGAGTCATTATCGCGATGCGACTTTCTCTGCGCTGGTTATTTTTTGTTTCCTATCTTCGATCTGTCCCCGCCACTGCTGCATCACTTCACTTCCACATTTCAACTTCGCAATCATCTATCCAAACCTTCAGCTATCTTCAAGCCACGTACCTTCATGTAAACTTTTCCAATTGTTTAGTTTCCGCGCAATATTATGTCACACCACATCGTGACTGGAATATTGCTTTCTCCATTCCAAAATTCATCTCGCGCACCTCATTTCGTATCTTCTTCACTTTCACTTTACACTTTCATCTTTCATCTCTCATATCTTGCATCTTGAGCGATTATTTCCATAGCTGATAAAAACCCAATTTTCAAGGTCGATACTCAGCGAGTCGCTCAACTCTTGAACTACCAGAACCCTCGCTCAGTAAGTCATATCCTCAATCATCCAATCTCTCCTTTTGCTGACCTCGTACTTTAGGTTTCCAACAAGGTCTCTACTATCAAGAAGAAGTACGATCTTCCCTTTGGTGCTTCCAGCCGCACTGCCGAAGAAATGGCCTCTGGAAATGCCTCCAAGCCTGGCAAGGGTGACACCTCGAAGGCATCTGACGCCAACGGTGATAATGAGCCCACCGTCCCCACCACCCCATCAAAGAATCGAGTAACCAAGTCCAAGACTACTCCAAAGCCTCGTGCTACTATCAAAAAGAGTCCGGTCAAGAAATCTGCAAAGAAGGTTGCCTCCGAGTCCGACGAAGAGCTTACCGACGTTAAGGATGAGGATATGAAGAAGACCAAAGTGGAAGATGATAAATAAACATTCTTCTCATTATCACAACTCTGGGGCTGGTGTTCGTACTTTTTACTAGTCGAAGTGGCATATATACTATCAAAGCTCGGTATAGGTGCCGCGAGGTGGTTCTATTGAGCGTTAGTTCTTTAAAGTTCTGACGATTTCCTTTTCTTTTCATGTCCATAGCGATTTGAGTTTACAATAGATACTAGAGAGAATATGGGAGAGAGTAACTTATCAGCCATGAATAATAATAGTTGTCAATTCCTCGTTTTGAGGAAAAGGAATGGTTTATAGGAGGTAGTTGTTTGTTCGTTTCTGGCCACAACCCTGAGTTGTTTCAGGAACTACAATATCAAGGATCTTTACAAGGTTATTACTTCTTTTACTATCTCTGTACCTGACTCGTGAATTTCTTTTTCAGTTGCCAAGTTACTTCCAAGATCAACCAGGTGAATGGCTTTAATAGAGAGCACCCCAGCCGACTTTCTCCTCATAATCAAGGATAAGAGGGTAGTTTGGGTATTGAATAAGAGTTAACATAAATTAATTCAACAATAACTTCACAACCATGTATCCCAATCAGATCGTGAGTAGCTCAAATTAAAGGGAATCATTAGTTAATATACTAAATGAACTTGATTTAGAGAAAATGGCACCCCGACTCAGTCCAATCGTCGTACAGCGAATTGAAGATGCTCTTCTAGATCCTGGAGTAACAATCAACCACGAGTATATTAAAACCATAGCAAGAACCTACCGTACGACTCCAGTAACCATCTAAGCATAAAGCACGTCTCGCGGCAGGAATACCAGTTAAACCACCTACTGGTGGACAGATTAGAGTTGTGACCCCTGATATGGACGCCGCCATGATGCTCGTTTTGGACCAGTTCCCCTGGTTTTATCAAGACGAGTTGAAAGAGTTCCTCTTCGAAGCTTTCGATATAGATATCTGCCTTTCCACTGTTCGCAATGCTTTACATCGAATCAAATATACTAGAAAGAAGATTAGGGTAGAGGTAGCACAAAGGAATGAAAGGCTTAGATCCATATGGTTAAACTCATTGCAGACCTTCGCGGCAGATCAATTGATATTTGTGGATGAATCTGGAAGTGATGAAAGGACCGGAGATCGACTTTATGGCTATGCAAAATCTGGCACAAAAGCAGTAGTCTCTCGATGGTTGTCGCATAGAGAAAGGGTATCCGTTTTGCCAGCATACACAGTAGATGGCTATATTGCCTCTACAACCTTCGTAGGAACCTGCAATGGAGATATATTCGAAGATTTTATCATTGAGCAACTGCTCCCTTTGTGCAACCCATATCCTCAACCACGTTCAGTGATAGTGATGGACAATGCCTCAATCCACCATTCCAACCGTGACCATATTGAGGCCGCCTACCATAGGAAAGGGGTATGGATAAGATATCTCCCTCCATGTTCTCCAGACTTCAACCCTATTGAGGAGAGTTTCAACGACTTAAAAGCTTTTATACGCCGCTATTATCGCAAATACAGAGGGAGTTTCAGAGATTATCAAGGATTTTTGGAATGGGCAATAAGGAAAACAGGTACAGGTTCTCGGGCGTCTTCAAGAGCAAAAGCACAATTTATACATTCAGGAATAAGAGGTATCTAGGTGTTCTATTTAGAGCTAGTCCTAGTATACAATACTATTACAAGTTGCCGCCGTTATCATTATCATTAATCGTAAAATCATCCAATCATTATCCATAATATTCACCCATTGGAGGGCATCCTGCATTTGCGTAGGATTGAATGGTTTCGGAGGGGAAGATAGAAGGGAGTGAGGGGGGGTTGGAGGCGGAGGTAGTGGAGGATGAGGTTCCACTGATGCCTTTTTGCCTTTCCGAGCTCCAGCTTTCTTGCCTTTTGGTAGGTTCCCTGGTGCTAGTTGCTAAGGAACTAGTGGTAGGGGTTCGTTTGCCAGCTGTTTTGATTTAAGCGGGGCTTTTTTGGACTTTCTGGGTGCTACAGCCGTCTTATTAATTGCAGGTGAAGGCTCAATTTCGTCGAAATGAACCTTGCACTTCCGGCTACGTGTTTGAGGCATATTAATGATTAATTCTACTAAATGGCAGATGATTTTAATGGATGGTTGTGGAGTTATTCCATATTAAGATTTTTTTAAATTAGTATAGAGGGGCAGGTTCAAAAATAAAATTTCGCTTTGATTTCCCTCGCTTGTATGCCCCTTTCCCATACTTCGTGGGGTAATGGGGTTTCGGAGCCATTGACCTTACCTAATTAATATTGGGTATTACTGGGAGATTTTCACCTGCACTTTACTTTGCAACATATAGGTCGGTCTCGCATACTTGTCTGTCTTGATTGACCTGCTCTACATAAAGACTCTAGCAATTTATCCACCCAAAGTCCACTTTATTTGACTACTAATAAAAGCTCATTCGTAACATAGAGACCCCACTCCCCGCTATCGGTAGTCATAAATCTGCAATTCTTAAATTCTAAATTTGTGACTCTTGAGATCGTTCCGGAGTTTGTGAGTACGAACTATTTTATCAGAATCCTGTCTTCTGAGGGTCGGTATGGGATTGTGTATTGAGGGTAGAGCTAACTCTTTTGGATGAAATGGGTAACAAACATGGTATCAATATTTTTCTTTTGGTGTACAGTAGTATTTTTGAGCGTGCGAGGTTTTGATGTTTATGTATTGTGAACTACGGTACTCAAATACAATACTTGATCACATACTTCATTTCAACATCCTGAAAACTTTCGTTGTCTCAAGATGGTAATTTTATATACTTCTCTCTTGAAAATTTAATCTACTCGAAACCAGAAGGTGGGGAATAACCCCTGTACAAGACGGGATATCATGGGGATTATTGGACCGAGGGTTCTTCTTCCGTTTCTTAGTAGCGGGACCTGGCTCATCGGTATCAGAGGGTGGGCTGGAAAGTTCCGATTCGGAAGACAGGGGATCGTCCGGGGAATCGGGTATACTGGCTTCAGGTGAAGATCCAACCGCTTTGCCTTTGCCTTTGTCTTTCTGTAAAGGAGTTACAGGAATTTCAAACTCCTCATCAGAATTTTCTTGGGTTTGTACAGCCTGGTTAGGATCAACCAGGGCAAAGTAAGACCGATCACCGTACAAGCGATCTCGTTCCTCGATAAGACGTCTTGTTTTAAAGATCCAGGTCTGAGCTTTCCTCTCGTTCTCCGCGTAGAAGGTATCAAACTTGTCATCTTCCATGTTCAATATTGCTCGAGCTTGATCCAGTACCAGAGGTTCGTCCCATTGGATTTGACCAAGGAGAGCTTGTTCGATCAATCCATATCCAGGGCAGCGGATTTCCACAGGAAAACGAGGGCACTCATACAAGCCATGCTGTGTGATCTTGTCATCGAAGATAGGGGTAACCGTTGTATGGGAATTGCATACTTCTGAGTAGAGCATACCGTTCTCGAGCTTTGTACCCAGATTACCTTCTTCATCGAATGTCACAGCAGCGTAAGGTATCGGAGTAGCACTGAAGGTTCCTTGTCCTGGGTCGGGATCAACAGGGGAAATGCGAAGGGGGACACCCGGAGCAACGATAGCCCAATTGTCACTGATAGGCTCCCATCGGAACTTGTGTCGGCGTTTAGCTTCCTTAAAAGCTTTGAAGCCAAACTTTTCTGTCAAGTCATGCCATTGACCTTCCGTGAACGCTTTACTGCCATCGAATACGGTATGAGATACTGTAGACCACGGTATCTTTCCACGGGGTAAGAATGCAGACAACTCGTGTGCAGGTGCTTGGTTCTCTTCAATGGTATTAATCACATAGGCTGTCAAACAGTTCTCCAATGCAACTTTCTTTTTCTCACCAAAGATCTGATGGACATCACCATGAGTAAAGATTCGCGAGCAAGTTTCTGTAGAGCGGACTTCCATCATAGGAACAGGAATAGTAACCAGGCGGAACTCTCCATCAAGACGTTGGCGACATACTTTCCTCCAAAGGAAGAGATCTTGTCGTGCAGCTTGTTGAAGAATAGAGAAATAACTATGATAAACAAAGCCACTCCCTGTTCCAATCTGTCTTCCATGATGGCGATACAATCGCGAGTTCACTTCGTTTAGCCCAAGATACGCTATATCGTGCCCGTTCAGCAGGGGACCAGTGACATAGCCACGTCTCGTAATATCAGAGGCAGATTTCACATCGAGGGTCACTATCATTGGGAACAGGAGTGGTGGAGTATACTTTAAAAGACCCAACGTCTTCGAGCGTCGTGCGTTTTTGCCAGCCTCGTGAGGTCTGAACCAGGAATAGTGCTGGTTGTCGACTCGAAGTTCATCGATCTTGTTCTTCTCTTTGGCTAAGATATCCATTCGCTCGAGAAGTTCCTCTTCTTTGACATGATATGTTTCAAGCGCTAAAGCGTTGGCAAGTTGGCGAACGTGGTAAACGCAAAGATGCTCGGGACGTAAGGTGACTAGTTCAATCATTGTCATCCATCCTACTGGCTTGGCTATGTAGCCATCTTTGAGTGTGGAAAACCAGTTTTCGTGATCCTTGACGCTTCCACATCTACATGCTTTGGGAGCTTCAAAGACATCGGGCTCGTCGTCGTCGTCTTCTCGGTCTTGTTCCTTTTGACCAGGCTTAGCAATTGAGTTTCGATGGACTACCATCTTATCCATGATACATGTGACATCAGGCTCATCAGCTGACGTGGAAACTTTTACCCCTAGGCTATTCCACTTGGCTATGTTGCGGAGTGCCACAGAAGTAGGAGGTAACTTGAGTGGAGGTGGGAGGATCACTGCTGGTACAGCATCAGGAGGTGCATCGAATCGGTAGTCCTCACTGGGTTCGCCAAGCATGCCAGTACTATTAAACTGGAGGCTTAGCTCAGCAACATCTGTACCATCCCATGCAGTTTCCTCCTTTTTCTGTTGTAAAACCTTCGCAACGTTTATGAATTCGCTCGGCATCAGACTTCTCTCGATTCTCTTCCCTGGTCTAGGCGGAGCATTGAGACGGCTGATCAACTCTCCATTTAACAAGAAGAGTGCTCTCTCTGGGTTGGTACTCGTCGCAATCCGTGTTAGATCCCTCGCGAATCGATAACCAAAGTTTTGAATGAGAGTGGTGGCAAGGGACATCCCAGCTTCACTACCACCCCAGTGTTTGCGTACTTTTTCGACTGCAAGTGCACGCCTAGCTTGATCTTGAGCGACCTTTTCTATGGCATCTCTGTTGTCGATTTCGAATTGTCCTTCAGATACGTTCGCAGCTTCGTGGAGCCTTTCACAAGTAATATCGTTGAGTGATTGCTCCAGGACTATTTCACCAGCATATATGAGGTCGAGAAGCTGGTTGTTCAATCGGGTTTGCTGCTGATAACGTTGTTTGAGAGGCTGTTTTCTACAGAAAGCAAGAGCAGCGCTTGGAATTGTGAAGATGTTACCACCAGCCTCAAAGAATAGGCTCTTGGATTGTGTAGGGAGACTTGATGATGCATCTGGTTTCTGTTTGCGGGGAGGCATGATTGTGCTTGAAGATAATACCAAAATCTAGTGTGTATAGTGAAAAGATTTTCGAGCAATATTCGTTCGTATGTTTTGGGGAGCAGGAATGAAGCAATAGGCGTAGGAAACGTAACTCTGACTGTGTGACAGAGTTAGCTACACTAGACCACTTTGAATCATCCCACGTTTGTATTTTTCTTTCGGCATTTTCGTCGGAGGAGCATCTCCGCAAGTGGAGCAGTATTACGGAAAGATTGGATATTCAAGGATAGAGACGCTCCTAGCTCTTCAGATCTACCAGCTCAGAATCCAACCGTCCCGCAGTGCGAAAGGTTTTTGATTGGGCTCTTACAGCTGCATGGCCATAAAGTTTTTGCTAGAACCATTCCATCCCAAAAGTCGAAGATCTCAGTCACAACCCACTTTTTGCACCACAACTTTTCTCTGAAATGATACAAAATGCTTTGCAAAGTTTTTCACACCCCCCGGGGAGATGCTACGCGCCGTTTTCGGTATATGCCAGACTGTCACTGGCAGTGTCACACAGCTAAGTGGATTATCTTCATAAACTCTCGAGGCCACGGAGCGGTTTCGGGGCTTGGGGTGGGTATACCCCCTTGACCATGTCATTCCATCAGGAGACGTATTCTCTCAGATCGTTCTTGTACCAATGCTTATCTCTGGTTCCATCTCAAGTTTCATTTCCGGTACTTGGGCTTCCCCCAAGAAAATATCATCAAGAGCTCAGAGTTCGCAAGGTTGCTCTTCTAAGCAACTTGTTAATAGTCCCTGCGTAGGTCACTAATGTAAAGGAGTGAAGGTAGGTGTGAAATCATAGGAAAGCCTTCGCATAACCAACCACATATATCACAAGAATCATCTAATCGTAGCGTCACTGAAGGATAGTCATAATTGTTGGTATCAACGGGAACACCTTTCAGATCTACGATGGTAGAAAGTCCGACGGGTGTTCAGTGTTGATATCAATTAAAAAGCTTGTTGATTACTATTCTACATGATGGGGACTATATGTGTATTGAAGCCCTTTCGCTAAGGCTTGCCCTAGCCCTTCGCTAGTACGGCGCCGGTGCTCCGGTACAGTAGATGACTATACCGACAGTATCATTCAAAAATCTCTTTCTAAGTTACAGTACTGACAAACGAAACAGCCTGTCCTTACAACTATTTTCCAAGTCATAAATGACATCACCAATCTCAACAAAAACATCCCAAGCCCTTATACGAGTAATACAAACAACCCTTTACACTGGAGGACTTCTGCCCATTGTCCCCCTTCTCACCACTCCCACTACCGTTTATCTTTCTTTCCTCTAAGGCGTCGTTGACCGGGGGTGGGGGGTTCATTATTTTGAGAGTGAAGTGAGACGTCTGAGTGATTAGCTGGGTAGGTTTTATTGTTCATTAGGAGCCTAAGGAATGGGATTGCTATTGAGTTGAATGATGAAAATTGCCATCTTGAATGAGTATACTCTAGAAGCTAAGAGCTACCCACATATATAACTTCTCAAAAGACACTATTCATCTATCCACCACTCATACTAGTCACCACACACCTCCACGTCACTAATTAACTATATCGCAACTCAAACACACCATACCTATTGAAAACCCCCGTAACCAATTCATGATCAAAAGTCCAAACTTCCCAATCTTTACAAACGCCAAGTCCAAAGATACGACCGCCCCTGCGATCAACTCCAATCTCCCAGATGATCTGATCTTCATCGTAACCGATTGTAGCCTGTGGATCTCCAAATGGATGGCCTCCTTCTAGGCGCCGTTTTTTTACCACATACCACGCAGTATTTTCCGATGGGCTGGCGAGATGTGGTGTTTGTAGATATTTTAGACGTTTTAGAAGTGGGTGTATCGACGTCGCGCATTCTTGCCCCTGGGTGGATGAAAGACGGTAAGGTTATGCATGTAAGTATTCCCAGTACACATCTCAGGTGAGCTAATGGCCTCCAAAGATCCACACTTCACGAGCCCGCTACAGCCAAAGCAGACCAGCTCAGATTATGCAGTTCTTCCCGAGCGTAACTTTCGCAGTGGTGGACCATATAAAATCTCTTCATATTGCCTCACCTACACCTACCTACACACACATATTCCTATATATATATATATACCTATACCTACCTACCAATACCATTGATAGGATATCCACTGCATACTTAGTACCGTAACCTCAACAACGCGAACAAGGTTTTAGTGGGGAAAGGATTTCATGGAGTCTTATGGCCTCAAACTTTGCAATAATGAAGATGTTCAAATGGCACATCGATGATGCGAGAGTTTGATGAGGGATATGGTGATGGCGATCTGCCATCTTTGGCTGAAGAATTTGATGAAGGCGTTGATCATGGACGTGTACGCGAAAATCAAATGAGGAACGCATCTGAATGAGGTCAAGAGGGCACTTGCGAGGATTTGGATGGGGAGAGGGAGAAGACCTTTGTGGGCAGTACAAGTTTGGCTGCCCCGCGGGATGATTTGCTAGATGATAGATGTCATGTGACAGAAGGAGAGCGATGGTATCGGTGGTGGTCTTGAAAATCTGAGGGATGTTGAGGATGAAGAGGGTGTAAATGGTGACACTTTTGATGATCATCATGGAGGTGATAATGATGGAGGTGATGATGGGTATGATTATGGGTATGATGATGGTGGTGATGATGGTGGGTTCGATTATGATGACAATTATGATTGAGAGGGATAAAGGCTCGAGGAGAACTCGGAAGGAATTACCTGTATTAGCGATTTATGGAGGCCCAACAATAATATCACGGTGCGAGGGGGCTGAACGAGGCTGGGGCATTACATAGTCCGAAAGGCATAACTAGTGATTCAAAGAGTCCGAGGCGAGTAATGGAAGCTGTTTTCCATTCGTCACCCTCAGCAATTCGGAGTTTGTTGAAGGCAGCGATGATATCGAGTTTCGTATAGACTTTAGCCTTGCAAAGTGCGTCGAGGGTCTTGCGAACGATTGGTCAAGGGTATCGGTTCTTTATCGTGACGATGTTTAACCCGCGGTAGTCCTGGCAGATTCGCACTCCTCCGCCTGGCTTGGCTGCCAAGAGTAATGGGGCTGCGCTTCGTGATCTTGATTCCCTGATGAATCCTTTCGAGAGATTGTCATCGATCTATTTGCGGACTACTTTAAGTTCTAAGGGTGATAGTGGACGGTTCTTAAAGTAAGGGGATTCTTTTCCTGGCATCAGTTCGATTTTGTCATCCCAAGCTCGACGCGGTGGGAGCATGTCTGCGTGGCGTTGTAGGAAAGCGGGCAGCTTATCATGGAGCCAGTCCGGGAGCTTCTCTCGAATTTCGTTGTTGCTGAGGGGAGGTTTAGCAGTAAGAAATTTCTCAACATCCTCTGCCGAGATCTTTCGTAGATGCACTGGTCGATAGCAGTCATAAACAAAGTCGTGAAGGTCTGGTGAAACTTTGGCTAATGCTTCTGAGACTATTCCTTTGCCATATAAGATATTGAAGAAATCTCGTTCGGATAGCGAAGGCATGGGTATCGATCTGATCTAGTTGCAGTGTAGTGTTTCAAGGGCTTGATCAAGTTCGTCCCAAGTTAACCTTGTTGCCTTTACTTTATCTTGATGGCAGAAGGAGACGAAGCTTGGGGCTCGGAGCCAACGGATATCGGTGAGATCTGGTCCCTCGAGTTCTTGCAGTTCGGTTGGTATTGGAACGGAAAGTGGTAAGAGTGGTTCTTTCCTGGGCTTTGGTTGGGGGCGGCGGCTTCCTGCGATTCTCTGGACAGCTTCGTGATGCGAAGGTTGTCGGTTAGATATCATTCTTGCTCTTGCAGTGGGTCCGCTAGTGCATGTTCTTGTTTGATAGTGGTCTATTCCTGGCGTCAGCTTCTTATCGATTGGTAAATCATTTTCTGTCTCGGAAGAGCACTCGTATCCTTCGTCTAGGGTGTCTTCAACGTAGGGCGAGCGATAATTTGTTTCGGTGCTGTTGAGCAGGGGCTTTTCTGCTCGTGCCAGCGAGAGAACAGTCGGTGCTAATATTGGTTGTATGGCATCCCAATGGCAGCAGTGCGAAGAGCAGTATTGTGAGCTGAATGACAGAGTCATATTGGTCCAGTCAATATGTGGGTTATGGCATTGCAGCCAGGGTAACCCAAAAATAACAGGTGTATCAGAAGAGAGTTTTGTAACAAAAAATAGCCATATTTCGTTGTGCAGACCCATTGCAATATCCATTACAAAGTAGTCGGTGATAATGTCTGCGACTTTATCATCTGCAAGACAGAGTTCACGGCGATAGGGTAAGGGTTGAGTCGTGATGTTGTGGTGATGTAGAAAGGATCGGTCAGCGAATACTTTTCCAGAATATCTATTGTCGATAAGACTAATCACATTGAAAGAAGAATTGTGCACAGGGAACATGGTGGTTTGGACGAGTAGAGATTTACTATCTATAGAGTTGAGCTACAAGGGCTCATGGCTATCTAACGCAATTCATATCCATTCATTTCCCGAAGATCTTTATGGGCGACTTGTCATGGAGGTTAAGCATTTCCCGATTCTCGAAAGGAGCCAGATGGTGATGTTATGCGCGAGGTAGTATTGGAAGCGCTCTCATCAGGTGTCAACGATTCTTCCTCAACATATCCTTGGAAGTTGTTGAGCTGATGTTGACGTTGGAATCCTTGGCTTTGTGGGTTGGGAGAGCTGTTGTGACTTCGTTGGTAACCTGGTGTAGTACCAGGATAGCTGTTATTTTGCTGGTATTCGAAAGGGAAACGTCGTTGGTAGCCACCTCGAGTTGATGGGCTCTGAGGGCGGGGTTGGTAGCTTTGGGTACATTCTCCGAATGTTCCATTGTTGCGTTGATTGGGTACGCCGTTATTGTTGCGTGAGTTTCGTAAAGCATCGGCTTGTTTCTTGGCCTCGCAATCCCAGACGGCGTGATCAGGTTCCTTACAATAATGACAGAGTCCGAGTCCGCAGCGGCGCTCCTGCTCCTTGATGTTTTGTTTTCTTGTATTGATGGCATCGAAATCCATGGGGTCATCTTTGACTTGTGGTGCAGCTACAGGCTGTTGGTATTGCTTTGTGATATAGGTCTTTGAGGTACCAAAATAGTGATTGTTTTCTCTGATGATGTTTTGGCTCCAAACTTGGAACTTTGTTCTCCAGCCATCGACGTCGTCCAAGGCACAGGGGTTGACATCTTGTCTGATTAAGGTTCTCAAGTCATCTGTAAATTTCACTTTCATAGCAGCGACCATGTCCCGTTTTGTTTTTTGACACAAATCTCCAAGGTGTTCCAACTGTGTTTAGAAGGTCAGGAAGGGTATCTTGCCATTCATCTTGAGGTTATCGAATTTGATCGAGGCTTCGCATTCGATGTCGACGGAGATGTAGATACTGTCGAGTTTCGCCAGGAAATCGTTGGCTGAGGTGAAAGGGGATTTATCATCTAAGATGTCTTGAATATCCTTCCAATGCTCTCGCCGAACAGTGCCATCCATTAAGGAAAACATATGAAGAAGCTTCTTCTGCTCGGTGGGGAATACCATGGGTTCATTTTTCCAAACGATTTGTAAGCCTTGCTTCCATCCGCGATATTCATACTGTCGGGCCAGAATGTTTGTCTTCTCACCCTTGAAAGGTTCGGGGTTCTTAGTGTTTTGGCGAGGGATTGAAGAGTGCTAGAGATCTGCGCAGGGATGGTTGCGACTAACAATGTGTTAAGGCGCGCGATCTCAGCTCGAAGAGCATCAGTTTCGGGAGCATTTGCCAGCAGTGTGTTCAGGCGCGTGACTTCAGCTCGAAGAGCTTCAGTTTCGGGAGCGTTTGATGTAGCAGACGAGGTTGACAAGCGCGTGACTTCAGTTCGAAGGCTCTTGATCTCATCGTCAGCTCGCGATAAGGTAACATCGACGATGGTCAATAGGTAAGTGATGTAATCTTTGGCTGCAACTTCCGGAGTTGTAGTCTTGCTGAATAAGTCGACGATGGACTTGGGATTCCGAAGTTGTGCATCCTCGACGTTGGGAAGTTCGCGGGCTACGAATTGCCATGCAGCGAAAATGTCGCGAATGTAGGTCTTAAGGCCATCCGTAGTAGAGGTATCGACAGCGCCAGCCATGATTTATACTGGATCGGAGTTTTTTCTTTGTTTGATGCGTATATCGAGGGGTCGAAGTCCCGATGTATCGAGGTGCGTGGTATCGCGGTATGGGGTTTTATCGTCGTATCGTAGTTGTGAGTCGTCGTCGTAGTTTCGGCTTCGGTCGCACCGTGAAATTTGAAGTTCGGGTTTCTTTCAAAAGGCAAGACTGGACTGCATTTCTGAGGCAGCAGAGTCTTTTAGAAGGGTAGAATATACTATCACGGTGCGAGGGGGACTGGTAGGACCAAGAGTGTAAATGTGGTTGCTAGGGAGCAACAGCCCGTGACAAATAACTTCCCATCTCATCCTATATTACGAATATTTTAATTTATCCTAATTCATTTTTCTTATTCTATTCTCTAGATTAAAGATGTCAGAAATAGTGAATTATGATGACAAATAATCTATTTCCTAATACTCTTAGGAATAGCTTCAATAATAACTCCTCTTTAACCTCTTATTATTTTGCTATTCTTGACAAAAGAAGCCCATCCTACTCCCAGATCGAAATAAGAATAGGATATGAGTTTAAAAACAGCTATCTACAATACCAATATCCCTCGTTGTTGAAGTTGAGGTTATAGAGATCACGAGTACAGCTTAACTCTACAACCTTTCTTAATATTCAATATCACTGCTACTTCCACCACGCCATAGGGCATCACTTTCAAACGCTCCTCTCTCTTTCAACAATTGACGCTTTTATAACCCTTCTGGTATGTTATTCGAAATCTCAAATTCATTTGAATATATGGTTTGATAAACGGAATCTAATTTTAGTATAGAAGATCATGGCTTCATCAATCCCATTTATTCCTTCTACCGATCCTCGTTATATTTTGGTGAAATCAACATCGGAATCCGAACATACATACGACTCGATAGCGAAAGCCAAACTTTACGAGAGAATGTTTCACTATCATGAATCCGATTTCGATTACGCGATAGAAAAGGCTCAAGTTCCTTGGTCGGAGAGTGCTATTCTGGATATGGGATGTGGAACAGGTGTTCTTTTGCGAAAGGTCTTTGATCAAACGGATCATTACAATACAATTCTGGTTGGCGCCGATTGCAGTCTTGTATCCCTTCACAATGCTGCACGACAAGCCTCGGAAATGCAGAATACTAGATTTGTGCATTTGGATGCTCAATCTCTGGATCATATCGAGATGTTATCCAAGCATTTTCCATGTAAATTCGATAGGATCTTCGCTATTTGGACTATCTCGCAGTTTTCCGATCCAACTAGTGTTATTCGTATGTGGGCCCATCATCTACTTCGACCCGATGGAAGGATTATCATCGATGTTGTACATCCAAACTTGGATATAGCAGCTTGGGAATCAATGATATTCATGGAAAAGGATATGGAGGACATCCGAGCCCAAGCTTCTTTCAATCCACATAGACCTCCTCTCGTTCAAGAATGGCTCCAGGATCAAATAACCTCTCAGGAAGCTATTGCTAATGGAGAAAGTTTTGCTGCTCATACAACTCTCCATCGTTTTGATGTTATCGACTTTTATCAACACCTCAAACTTGAACATGTTCATACTCGAAATTCTTATGGCATTACTCTTATACTACAACATAAAAGAGATAAACTACCTCCTCCAACTCGCCTCGAATTGAATCAATTCATATCCAGCTCTATCCAAGATGAGGTATCCAAATTTGAAAAGGAGAATGGTAAATTAGTTACTAATCCGACATGTGGTATATTCAATGGAATTCGAAATGCAGCTGCTTTGGTAATCATTGGTAACAATCCAATGGAAGAGAGTCACAATTTGATGGATTCAGGAAAAATTGGAGCTTTTTGTACTCCAAAAGTTAACAAAGATAAATTGTTTTCTTATTTTCAACGAAGGAAATTGAAGGAGTAATATGGAATGGGAGGGGAGGGGGAGTGGGGTGAAAGAAACGAAGGGAATGGAACAAATGAAGGAAGTACCTAGGGATAGTAACAGAATCGGAGTTCAAGAGCAAGTGTTCTTCCTATATGGTTGACTATTTGTGATAGTGTTTGCTATGAAAGGCGTTCCTGAATTGTCTCGGAGAGTATTTTCTTGAGATAGGAGAAGAAAAGGAGATCGTCCCACCAGAAGAATGCTGTAGTAAATGCAACCCGGAACTCCTACCTGTTTTATCGAAACCACCTACAGCCAAGTCGCTATCTAAGCCTCGGAAAGGTACGATAGCCGCCTTTGCGTTAGAGCTTTTGGAGAAGTGGTGCAAGGATGAAGCACCCAAACAAGCTAGCAAACGACGTTTCGCATTACCAGTGACATTCTTCATGGAAGAGTCTCTATGCTGGCAAATAGCCGAAGTCTATCGTCGAAAGCCCACTAGTCCACTCTCTGATATATGGGATGGGCTGACCATTGATGAATTGTGCTATAAGATTCCAGATCTTAAAACATGGCGATATTTTGATCGATACAAAGATAGCCTGGTACCCAAACTCCAAAGTTTTCATCCCCAGGTTGATTCTTTGTATATAACATACAAACAAACGATAGACCAGAAGAAGGATAAAGAGGAAGCTGTGCGACAGAAAGCGGCAAAGAAGCAGAAGCCAAATCCAGGAACCCAAGATCCCGCAGTAACTTCAGCACGGGAGCGATTGCTCGTAACCCAGATGTCTCAGGACAATAGACTTCGGGAGGTTAACGATTCTTAAATTTAGAGTTGTTTTAAGGGTCTGAATGTGAAATAAATTCTACTAGCATTACGGTCACATAAATTTCTACGGTCATATGAACTCTTTACGGCCTAGTGCCGAACATGTAATCTGACTCTGCTCAACAAGAATTTAAAAAAAAAATCTATAACG